TAACATTATTTATTACTTTCTCCTTAGCAAGATGCTTAGTTTGTAGTGCATTTGGTGCCCACCCTACACAGGGTGGAAGAAGAGAGAACATGTCCTCACATCACTCATAACAAATCCACACCTGTGACTGATCTCAGTGGTTCTGGATTTCCCCAGTGGCTGATGGCAATACACCTGAAAGAACAGCTCTGCAGCAGTGAGCAGCTTAATTTGTAAAAATCCTTTTCAAGGAATTAAGCCCATCACAAGAAGAATTACGAATTCACACATATCTCCTCACTACCTGAACTCGGAATTCATGCTTCTATCCACTGATGTGCTGTCAATGGTGAACTGACAGACGCAGGACTTCGGGCGGGCATGCCATACCCATACAAACTGCAAAATGAAGCTCTGCTGCATGAAAATCATTGCATTGATCTACAGGCAGGCAAGGTCACCACTCTTCCAAAACTTCTTTTGTGTTTCATAAGTGAAAATGACAAAGGGAAAGCTTCATTAGTGACCCAGCAGTCCCAGACAGACAGACCAAGGTCTGAGGGAGAGGAAATCATCCTGCATGCATTGCAGATAATCAATCAGCAGAGGTGCAGTATCATCAGGAGGTGCCTGCACTCAGCAGATGCTTTGACACACCTCATTGCTTCCGCCATGAAAACCAGCCGTCACCACCGTAAGACAGTTCTGGTGCGTTAGCATTGCTGCCAAGCTCGGTTTCAGGCTAATCTCCTACACAAAGTGATTTTTTGGTTCACAAAGTGATTTTTTGGTTTAGTGCAAGGCACCCTGTACCCTTGGGTGTCAACAAGGGAGCACACGTGACTCACATAAACAAATGAAGGCATGACGCTAGCGGACAGTATGGGATGGTGACATGTTACCCAGCCAGCAGCACCACCACCAAGCTTTTGCTCAGCACTGAGCTCTGCGGGAGGCTGTGGAGCCAGGAGGCTACAGGGGCCAGCAGCTGCTACCAGATCAACAGTGGAGATGTTGTACCCATAACTTCAGAAACCTCACATGATGCCCCAGCACCAGGCATGTGCTTAGAGCTGCTGAGCTTGCTTGAAGATCCACTATTTGCTGAGGTCTCCATAAACTTCCTCAGTTTAGATCAAGGGAGACACTTCTGTGAGGTTACGGGCTTAGCCTGTTCGGTATTTTAAAATATATATTATAATGAATTTTCCATCAAAGCTGTCACTTGCTATCTGCCTTAAGAAGATAAATATAAGAAGAGCACTGCCATAGGAAAACCCTAACTGGATTCTCATTTCAAGGTAGGTGCTATCTATGTTATAATACTTAAATCCTGCATCATCCCTCATAAGACCGGAACACTTAACAAAACAAACAAAAAGCAATTTCTCATTTGCCAGGAGCACTTTGATGTTACACTCAAAAACTTGTGTGGGGCAAAAAGGGCAGCATACCTTGTAAGGGAAGCCTAGAATTTCTTGTTAGTGTAATTAAAATCCTTAGTTGCTTAGTGTAACTAAGCAACAACAAGTAGTTCTAACGAGTAGTCCAGCTAGAACAATGCTAACACTCTTCGTCCAAATGATCTAATTAACACACAATAAATCTCCTTAATAATATATTTTAAAAATCATTATACAAAACCTCCTACTACCTTCCCCTTTCTCTGCTTTCATACAGCCCCTCCCATGGCCCCTGCGTGTCCTCAGGTCGGCAGCAGCAC